TTAGGCTAACATAGGAAATATGCTAATTTCGTTTTATTTGACCAAGATTTAGCTATTTGCTAGTGATGGTTGAATAAAACATGCCCATTGTTGAGTTTTGCTTTGTGCAGAATTTGCATGAAGCGAAACAGCCATTTCCTTGCTGTTATATATTCTGTATGCTGCTCAGTGTTGCCGCGAATCTTTTTAGTGGTAGCCAAATTCCTTTAAAAAAATGGCTAAAAAAAGTCGTTGTGGCTAAAAATGGCAGCTAAATTTTTTTACTTACATATACATATATAAGTATACACGTAAACATTTTCAATAAGTGATGGTATAGAAAAACAATGAACTCTGGAAAAAGCTTATTATTATTATATTATTTTATCCAACCAAAAACTTGAGCTAATTTCACCACTCACGACACCAGCATGCTGGTACAATCATAAAATTTTCAAATAGTGTTTGAAGTCGCACCAGCAGCTGGTACAATCACACCACAAGAACATACATGGTCAATCGACTTGTTGGGCCATTTAACAAATTAAGCATATTAAGGTCCGTAAACTTATCTATTTTAAACTATAGTTAAATCGTTAATAAATAAGTTAGCAGCCCTAACAATTTTACGGTATGTATGTATAAAAACGTAGGGAACATACAATACATATATATATCAGTCTTTCTTAGTTTAAAAATTCATCTCTTACATAAATGAAAAAAAATATTAGATCAAATTAAGCATATACAACTTTTTCATGCCAAGTATGAATAAATTCTCCAAAGGGCTAAAAAAGGGCTAGGGGCAATTTTAAATTTATGTGGCCAAAAAAAGTATGTGGTAGCTCAATCTAGCCACCAAAGGGCTAAAACGGCAACACTGATGCTACAGCGATGTAAAATAAGGTTTCTGCTGCGCAGCGACAACTGATTTTTTAAAGAACTTCGTCTTTATGAAATAAAAGAAAAGCTGAAGGTGAATGTACATATCGTCGTCTCAGAAAACGGATGTCGAATGTTACAAAACACGGTTTTGAGAAAATTGACTTTGAAGTTTAAGGTCGAATTAATCCTGTACGTAGATTTTTGTAACTTTTGAAGGAGACGTAGTTGGTGTTATTAGTTTTGATTTTCCATATTTTTACATTTAATATCTCTTAACGTTAATGAGAAAATTTACTTTTCATTCCGTATACATTTGTCGTAAGTAGCGTTTACTCACCACTTTGTTTTGTCCACAGAACATACGACAATAGTAAAGTATCTATTTCAACGACGATGGTATAATTTGATGAAAAAACCAGACATATTTATTAAATAATGATTACTTATTAGAAAAAACATAACAAAAACATAATCATGTATTTAATAAAAAAAATCTGTACATCTCTTATGCTGTAAATATGTTACGAACATACGTTTTCTTTATATAAAAACAAAAAACAATACTTAAATTCAGTCTTTTGTACATTTTTAATTCTTTCATTTCATTGGAGACTCAGTGCAAGCTAAAATTTAAAAATTTAAAATTTTAAAATTAGTTACTTAGTTTAATTTTCAATTTTAATTGTATCGTTATAGTAGAGGACCATCGAATTGTCGTAAGTTCAAAGTTTTGCGATACATACGACAAATGTTTTATGATTAAAAAAAGATTACATTTGTATGGGAATTTGTCGTATGTGCCACATACGACAAATGTTTTATGATTAAAAAAAAGGTACGTTTGTATGGGAATTTGTCGTATGTGACGCATTTTCAGCACATATAACAAAAGGCATACCCAATCATTAATATTATATAACATACGACAAAATGCGCACGAAATATCTCAAAAACTAATGGAGATATAAAAAAATGGATTGCAGAAATCGAAAGAGCATGTCCAACTTAGTAAATCTGCATCAAAATCCCAAAATCGTCATTTTGCACATTCGTCATCCGTTTTCTGAGGCGACGATATGTATGCCACACCAAGAAGCACAGTATACCAGTAGAGAAGGTTTTTGTTGTTGTGACTGTTAATTTGGTCCCCATAAAGGACTTGAGGGTTGCCAGCAACTGTTTTGCCGCATTCAGGTTGCTGTGCAGCAAAATAATGTGGTGAAAAATTTTAACATCGGATAAATGGCGAGAGAAATATTGTTATGCGCTTTATATGTAAACATGGACGTCATAAAATGTTTTATACTTCAATACAACTAATTAGCGCTATTTTTGCAATTCGAAGTGATCTTAAAAATATTTGTAGTGAAATATGTACATTATGAGTTAAATGGAAACTATCTTATATGTAAAAATATATTCCGACTTACTTCAAATAAATGAAGTAAAATGTTTTATATATGGATCTAATTTGAATAATAATATTTAGTACTTTCATCTATATTGCTTTTATTGTAAGTTTTCACGAGTAGTTGCAGTTTTCTGCAATTGTCTCTGGCCGACTATACATGCTAAAGCTAAATAATTTCACAATTTCTATCCTATTAAACGTTTATATTTTAATAAAATGTGATCAATTACTTAAGAATATATAATTTTCGATCAAACTATAACACTGAATGCTTGAGAAACAATTATTTAAATCAAGTGATCAATAGTGAACGCACTCGGGGCGAATTTTGGAACACGGAGCGAATTATGCATATTAACACTAAATAATTTCTAACTTTCTACCGTATTATACGTTTATATTTCAATTTAATATGATTAATTACTTATTAATATATAAACTCCGATCAAACTTCACTACTGAATGCTTTACAAACAATATTTGAATCAAAAGATCAATAGTGAACGCACTCGGAGCGAATTTTGGAACACGATATAAAATATGCATGTTAAGACTAAATAGTTTCTCATAAGCTTATGCTTTAATATAATATAATTATCTACTGAAGAATATATTAACTCAGATCAAACTATAGTATTAATTATTTGACAAACTATTTAAATCAAATGATCAACAGTGAGTGCGCTCGGAGCGAATTTTGGAACACTTCATAAAATATTTACAGAGGAAGTACATTATTTGGTAGAGATCAAAATGTATTTAACAAAGTGTGATTGAATTTGACATTGCTCTCAGAAGAACCATCCTATAAAGTCAAATTGAAAAAAATTTGTACGAATTTTGAATCGTTTGTTTATATTTTTTTACATAATAGTATCTTAAAAGAGAGCCGCCCTGAGTTGTCAATAACACCTTGGGCCGTATGCATAAAAACTAAGCAATTACTTTTTCTCAGATTTTCATACCTTTCACTTAAATTTATTTGAAAAAATTGAGTGAAAGGTCTGAAATTTTAAGAAAAAGCATTTGCTTAGGTTTTATGCGTACGGCCCCTTGTTTAATACACCCATGATACAAATAGTTGAAGATAAAACCGCATAATTCGTCGGCCATCATTTACTTTTTGTAGTTTGTCTATTTTATAAAATTGAAATTTTGAGAGCAACTCAAATGCCTATTAAAGGTAAAACAAAAAACAAATAGATGAAAATATTGAAATTTTCATTTATTTGAGACTGATATTGAGAATGTATTTGTGAGATTGGAAATTTGAAAACATTTTTGTAATGTTAGCAAACTTTAAAAATGTTCAGGCTGCCTTTCAACGGTTTTACCTTCAGATTTTTGTAGCATGAATACACCTTGGTCAAGATATCACGAACAAATTTTCCTTTATTTATTTTTACTTAAAATCCTTAAATATGAATCTTCATTTTTTTCTGTAGAATACGTAATAATTTTTTTTTTATCGATTTAAAAAAAGGGAAGACAGTCGGATCTACGTAACCAGAACGACCTGAATGCGCATTGAAGTCGGTTGTATTTTTTGCTTAAAATTATCTGTTATTATTGAGATACAGTTTCGCTACTATTTAGAGATTTCTCGACATACTTTTTCATATTACCGTTATTTATTATTTTTCTTATTAGTCATTTATATGTTTAGGACTTACTGTGGGTGCTTTAAGATTCATTTTGCAAATATGTATGTACATATAAAAAACAATTGCGATATTTTATTTTAAATTATGAGTTTTATTCGTGTAATTTTTTATGTTTAATAGTTTTGAGAACATTTTTTGGTTCTGTCGATTTTTTTATTGCATGCCTTAAACTTTTTTACTTTAAGTTATAATGTTGAAGATATGCCTTCTGCCTTTGTCAAGCACTTAAGCTAGGTGCGAGAAATTTAGCATATGCGCGTAAGAGCATAGAGTAGGAATACGGCTGTGCTGCCGCGATTCTCCAACATCTTGTCAAAGGAGAAAACATATTGGTGGCGGAATCCATCGTAGTCCAATTTTTCTTAAAATCTACGAAAAAGCGATCACTGAATCTGAACTGCTATGTGTATTCAAAGCAAGCGCTGCGTTCGTAGCTACTCGAACTTAATAGCATTTTCGTAAATTTCACGAAAAATCGGACTACGATGGATTCTATGATAGCCTTGATTAGTTCGTGCGATTATGACTTATGGATCGATTATGGATGGGAACGGAACCTCAGTTGGGTTGCCGATGGACAGCGCCACTGAAATGAAAATGTTTTTTATTATGAATAGCAATAATTAAGTTTCATAAAGTTCAAGGTGGTACAATTTAAAAAAAAGTTGAAAAAAGAAATAAAGTATCTCAATCAAAAATTCCCGGCAGCCACAAAAACGCACTTGCCAATATAGCAACTTAGTTGCCAGCTTTCAGTTGCTAGTTGCCATCGGTAATACTATTTCAGCCACTGGCCAACCAACTGAAGTTCGGTTGTCCTCCGTAGTCGACCCATAAAATCGGAACCGAATTTGCATGCACGTTCTGCTGAACGATAAATATTTTGTAAATGTGTGCTCTGTCCGCTAACGAATTCCAGCCATGTGTGAAATATCGTATGTGAAGCCTCCGTCTGACTTAACGATTGTTAAAGGCATGCCAGAAGATGTTTCATCATATGTTTTCGGCCATCGTCTTCTTCGAGTATGTTCATCGATACCAAAAACTTTACAACCTCTATGTGCCAGCAGCCCTTAGTGTTTTTGCCAATGACATGGTACTATTGCACTGTTAATAACCAAATTAAGCCCCAGTTGCATTCACACGTGATATAATAACAAGTGTCGACAAGCTGTGGGAATGCCCAGCAGATGGCGTTTGTTCAGCTATCGAAATCATTACACCGACGGCGGTGGGCAGTTCTGCTGGAACATATTTACCACAGCAGTGGTTGCGGCGTTTTGTTCTGCAACAATAGCGTGCAATGATGACATGTCATATAATGTCGACGAACAAAGATATAAAATTTAAAATGACTAACCTTATTCCCGGCTGATTTGGGAGACCACCATTGGTCACGACCAGAACGCATTTACCAAGAGGAAAAACCGCAGGGATGGCAGTAGTTCTTGCAATCACCGTTGATGATGCTGTGTTTGTAATTAATAGTCTGAAAATACAAAAAAAAAATGCATTAATGAAATCTTATACACATCAAATAAATAAATTTCAATAATTTGTTTACCATTTCACAAACCGAATTACCAAGAAATAGAAACTCACCGCGATGCGATACAGAAATAAAACCAACAGGGCTGCATTTTCTTGGTAAACAACACAAGCGCTCAGAGCAAACTGATCCTCAAAATTATTTTGTGAAAAATAATAGTTGAAAAGAGTTTTTACACATGATTATCACATTAACTCATAAGTGCAAATTATTGTGATTATTTTTAGTTGCATATAATTTTATTACCTTAGGCTTTTTTTAAATGTTTTCTAATATTCATTCTTTTGGGACCCAAAAGCAACCATGCGCTCAATTTCTTGTGGGAAAATTTGGTCCCTATAAAGGACTTTCACCACGAATCTGCTACGAAAACAAAAACCTTTTCTACTGGTATACTGTGCCAAGAAGCTTACAGTGAGCATGTGCCGATATCGCAGCATGCAACATTTTGAAGTAAAAAAAAAACAGTTGTCAAACGAAATACACGATGTAAAGTGTTTCTTTGTTTTGAACGCAGCGCTGCTTGTACATAAATTTCGCTTTACGCACAGCGTTCAGCCTTAACCAGAGAACATATAAGAACGAGAAGGTGCAAACGACTCAGTGGAAATCATTGTGGTATGGAATTTTCATTTTCTGAAACGTTTCTAGTAAGGAATGTAATAGACATTTGGAGTGCAATGATTCTGTTAAATTCCGAGGTAGAAACACAGAAATAAATGTTTATCAACAGATACGTGTTTTGCCAGCAGCATCTGGCAACATGTGTGTTTAAAACGAAAACCTGCCAAATTTTCGTTTTAAAATTGTATTTTTTCATGTTTAAAATTTTTATACCCGAGCGCACTTGGGCACAAGGGTATATTAATTTCGTTCACATAACGGTTGTTTGTAACAACCAAAACGATTCGAGATAGATATAGACAAATGCACGGTGCAGCGAACAAAGGTGGCGCCGTCAGTGGTACCGCTACTTTGGTTTTGCCGATTTTGACAGTTGTGGTAACTTGTAAATAAACCTTTGTTTACAAATCAGCGAAAGAGAAATTTGAATTATAAGTGAAAAATCAGTTTAAATCGTGTTAATTTGCAATTTGTGAGTGATTTTTGAGTTGAAGACTGCGTAAAAACTAATACAATGAAGTGCTGTGTGTTAAATTGCGACAACCGTCAAGATGCAAGACGCGTAGATGCAAGTGTAGCGCTGGGACGAATCGCTGCATTTTGTGTACATAGGGCACGGCAAAGCCGTTCCCGAAATGATTCTCTATTATTATACTAACAGCATTTCCTCACAATGATTTTGTTTCTGCTCCACGCAGCCTCTTTTAGCAAGTTAACTAATCAGTCCCGCAGAGATGCTGCTGCAGTTTTCTGCAGCAGCCTTAAATGCAAAGCAATGGAGTGCACTAAAACGTTTGCTGAAGCAGCCTCAATTGCATAGCAATGGAGAGCACTACAATGTTCACTGTTCTCTAATAGATTAGGTGAAAAATGCAATAATTACGCATTTAGCAAAATTAAAACACGTTTTTCGCAGTAAAGTGAACTGCTTTGGCTGTTTCAACTCGTTCTTCTTTTCGCTCTATTCTTTGTTTACTTGTGGTACACAAATGTCAACGCCCAGGACGGCGCAATCTTGTATTCTATCATTCTTGAGACAAATGTATACATAAATGCTCAGAATGAATAGAGAAATCGATTAAGCCATGTCTGTCTGTCCGTAGGTCCGTCCGTCCGTGTACACGATTACTCGAGCAAAAATTGAGATATCTCAACGAAATTTGGTATGTAGGTTTTCGTTAATCCAAGGTAGGTTGGTATTGAAAATGGGCGAAATCGGACTGTAACCACGCCCACCTCCCATATAACGGTAATTTCCAGAAATACGAAAACTGCGATATTTTAGGAACTACTGAAGATAATTCTCTCAAAATTGACATTTACAATAATTTTCAGACGAAAAAATTTTTGGAAAATTGGCGTAGCCACGCCTACTTATGGTTACATGTGTATATCTTGTTAACCGCTGCGCCAATTTATCCCAAACTTGGCATAGTTGTTGGCCTTGGTACAGCATACTAAATGGCCGGACAATCGGACAATAACCACGCCCACATCCCATATAACGGTACTTTAGAGAAATACAAAATCTTCGATAAATCAGTAAATATTAAAGCTTATTTGTTCAAAATTGATGCTTGCAACGATTCTTTACTAAGAAATACGTTTATGGAAAAATTTTGGAAAATGGGCGTGGCACCGCCCACTTATGATCACATATATGTATGTCGGTAACTGTCAATTTGTACCAAACTCGGTATGGTTATTGTGCTTGCCATATGAAAGAAAAACGTTGAAAATTATTGAAATCGGACTAAAATTACGGCCGCTTTTCATATAACGGTAAATTTCGAATATTTCAAAATTTAAAGACGCTAATTTACTCAAAATTGATACACACCGGCTTACCATCTAGCGGAAGGTTTCGGAAAGGTGAAAAGCCATATATTTAATACTTGCCCCGGGTATTTAATGTTCGGCTCCGCCCGAACTTAAACTTTCTTACTTGTTTTACTTAATTATGCACATTAATAAATGAGTAAACATTTTTGTGTTCATAAGTTTGTACATACATATGAACATAAACAAATTTTGCCGCGATTTATCTTTTTTGGCTACGTTTATAATTTGAGTTTGAGATGATGTTTAGTAGAAACACCTTAGGGAACGTACCGATACTACGTGACCCGTTCAGGGGCGTGAGGGAGATCTTCAAAATACCATGCTTCGTCAGAGTGCGTAGTCAATATCCTCTAAGAAAATCTGGCGTTTTTTCAAGATACATTCAAATATGGCGCGCAGTGTTTGGCGCTTTTTAACTCACAGGATTTCTGTTTCTATAAATTAAGTTCTGGGTACGATATATTTTAACATAAGTTTTATCTTGATATGTAATATTTTTTCCACTTGTAATTATGCATTAGGGCGGGGCGAAAATCTAATTTTTCTCAAATCCCTTGGTAATAGTGAAAATATATTGTGTCATGAACAACAACAACAATCCTGCAAAATATTAATATTTTATTTTAATTGTGAGAGCCCGCAGCACTTTAGCTTATCGTTAATCTCAAACTTATCTATTTTCAAGAAAATTTTAATTGTTCTCTTGATAATTGCTTAGATAATTGATTTAGATCGCTAGTTCCAAATATTCTAATCTTTTTTTAATATTAGCTATAGTTTGCGAATTTTTGCAAATTTAGGAACAATTTCGGTAGCTCTAATAGAATAGCCATTATTTTCCATCATCGTGGAAAATTTTTGTTTAAGCAAATGAGTATGGAAACACTGAACAGGCACAACTTCTAGAAACACTAATTTGTTTACTTATGTTTATGAATACAATATAAAAGTAGCAAATATAGGAAAATGACAAAAAAATTTGTTTAACATCTTTTTTTTTTACTAATTTTTTTATAATATGAACGATTTTCATCATACTATTATCATAAATCAGTAACAGTAAGTTTCGCCTTCAATTTGTTAATTATTACGTACCGATCGAGTAACATTTACCAATGTTATACGAAAAACTTAAGTGGATCTCCAGTTTTTTCTAAAAAAATTCTCTTAATTGTATAAATAACCTTTAAATGAAAGAACCGGATTACAGAAAACTGTGCCAGGGAGTGACTTTTTTCCTTCAAGCTGAATGCAAAGCAATGTCGTCCAATTGGAGAGTTTTCAAAAGGATATCCCAGGATATGTTAAAGACTATTGCATTTACCTACACTGAGGGAAAAAAATTTTAGAATTAAAAAAACGTGCTAAGTTTAAAAAAATACGCATAAGAAAGAGCACCAACCCAACTTGTTTTAAATTTGAGTATCTACGTTATAAAATATGTCGTTGTGAAGTGCACAGATGCCATTTCGTTATACGAAATTATAATTAAGAAAAAAAAGCAAATTTTATTTTACGATCTGTCTGATGGTAGTTGAACCCGAGCCCTCTTGACAGCAACCAATTGTATCAAACGTCTTTGCGCACTAAGCTACAGCCATACATGTAAATAAGCGTTCAAATGTTAAGTTTGAAACTACATCACAGCAGTGGATTATGTCATACCACCCTGCAAAAAATTATGCGACTAATCTCTAAAGCGAGTATTCCGAGATTACTCTCAATCGGGTACATTTCGGCATTAATTAGTCCCAACTAGTCTCATACGGGTACTATTGGAGGTCAATTAGTCTCGACTCATCCCTTAAGGGTATAATTGGAGATCAATTAGTCCCCAACTCTTCTCTAACGGGTACTAGGTTAGGTTAGGTTAGGTTGATGTGGCAGTCGGTTCAATTTACCAACTCACTTAGACCTTTTGAAGGTCCATTGTGGTACCACTGCACATTAGGTCAAATGATTACTTTTTCTGTGCGAAATTAATAGCAGCTAAAATATTGCATTATTTTAATGTAAAAAGATGGAAAACGTTAAAAGAAGTGTAAAGGCAGTAAATAAAATGTTAAACAGACTTGGCTTTCGTAAAACAGAACTTACTGCTTTTTTGTATGTTCAAATGATGAGTATATGTTTTAGGTATTACTCAAAAACATTGTCCAATTAGCTTGGTTTTGACACAAGTTATTTTCTTATCATACACAACCCGCTCCTCTTTAAAATGAGCTATATAATAAAATAAGTATGGTCACATGTACATAAATGGTTTCTTCTAGCGATTAGTTATGGCATTATCGAAATTCCTAAATTAAAAAAAGAAAAATATTTACTACATGTCTCGCAGATATGTCTTGAGGAGAGATTCCTAAAGCAGTTTGTCTTCATAAATCACTTCATTTTCACTTGAGGTTTCAGTATTTCCAAATTCTCCACCGATATTATCTATTTATATTCAGAATACAAATGCTGCTTTGTGACACATTTACCGAAAATCGCTGGTAACTTCCTGAAAAGAATACGAATGTTTATATAACTAATTTGTTAAAAGAATGTTCAAAGCTCTATTCACTTTGAGTAAAAAAAATTGGAAATTTCAGTCCGTGAGTTCTCTCAAGGATTTGCCTTTTTGCGAAGGCGCTAGTGTATTTGTAACATAGCCTCGGCTACGCTACAGGAGATGAAATGTAATGCAAATTGAGGCTGCTATTTTTTTTTTTGGTATCACATACTTCCATTTTCACTATTTATCACCATTAAAATGGATTATTTATCACCAAAAAATGTTGGAGATATTTTTGGAGATAGCTAAAAATTCGGAAAAAGGTTGGCTATCCTATTTTAGCACTTTAGCGATAGCGAAAGTTAGAATCCGGCTGATGGTCGACACAGTTGGCTTTTTGATTTCGAAAAGAACCTCATCAG